TCAAATAACACTTAGGACAGAATAGTGTCAAACAGTGTTTACATTCCGTTCCATTATAAATACTGACATGACCACAAGTACGAATTTTTGTAGTTGACATTGCCACGCGGATATCTGAAATCGAAAAGGCTGATTAAATTCGCTTATAAAAATTTTGATTGGCTGGTCATGTTAGTTGGACGTAAAAGACAATTGTGTATTCTCTCACTGCACCACCAGAAATTCTAAACAAGTAAGAATATTTGATGTCTATGAAATGGTAGCTGGTTCTGTGCCGAAACTTTAATATTAGTTGAAAATCTAAACTCTTAAAGAAGTGTGTTTCTTATGCTACTTTAATTCCGGCTGTTCACTAAAAAGCAGAAATGCACTTTCAAAAAGCTTTCTCTGTTTTAGGCATAATCATGATTGTTTATATAGTGTTTGAAGAGTACTAAGCACTGATGTAAATTTGATTACCGAATAATTGTGCAATCTGATGTTTATTTCGTAAGTCAGAAAATTGCAAATTTCTTAAAATGACTCAATTTGGCACTCTTAGTTCCTTGTCAAATGGGATAAAACCCAACATATCCCACGGATGTGCAATGTATGACGTCATCTGCACTCTTATTCTTCCTTTTTCTCTGGTTACTGTATCTACAAAGATCATTAAACGACGCCTTTTTAAGGAAGAAAAAATTATTTAAATAATATTAGTCATCCTTCCACGGATAACACTCGTGATTTATCCACATAGAAAAAGTCGAGTCAGTGAGAAAACAGAATGTAATCGGCTATCTTACCGACCTCTCCACAACGTTTCAAGAAATCTGAGAGCTACAAACAGCCCCGTTTTGGTCACTTAACAGACGATTCGCGAGGAAAGCGATGATTTGGCGAAGAAAACCTTTTAGTTTAGTCTGCGTTGATTAACGTAACTTGAGAGAAAAAATGATCATTTAGAAAACACATTTTATCAAAAAACGACAGTCATTAATGTTTTGAAGCAAGCTCTCTCAAGAAATTTGTTGTTTTGAGCCTGATCCTGTTTAATGGAACAGGCTGACTCTCTATGTTCTTCTGTTCTGAACACAGGCAAAATGCATCGGATATGGAAAAGGTAAAATTTTCCAGATGGGTCGGGCGTCTAAGAAAAGGCATAAGACAAAAAACTTTTCCCGGATGGATTTAACGTTATCAAATTTGTAAAATTAAAGAATAGTATAATAAACTATAAATATTTTCTCTTTTTATTTAGAGACTAGTCCCTACCTGAAATTAAAGAATAGCACAACTTTTAACATTACTAACTTATTTTGAAACATTGTATTTTCTAATAATATTACCAAGCGAAGAAAACTCAAAACCAAAATTAAATAAACATGAAAAAAGGTTGGGAATGCGAAAAGGTAAAACCGATTTAATTATAAAAGAAAATATTTAACAAGAAAAGATAGAGCAAATGGAAGGAAACAAAGTCGATTATCATCCGCACGATTAGTATATTGTACTTGATAAATTCGATTGTTCCAATCTTCGCTGAACAACAGACTCCCATCCTTCATTACCAAGAGACCTACTGGACGACCAAATGTAACCGGCCCAGAAACGTTTGTCAGAAATCCATAGACAAAGTCTTCGTAATAACCTAATGGACGATTATCAGAACCAAATGGTACGAATACAATTGAATAGCCGGTGCCATTATTTTTATTCCATGAACCGTGAAATGCTGCAAATGCACCATTAAGATAGTGCTGTGGAAATTTGGATGCTGTATAGAATTTCATATCCAATACAGCTGAATGTGCTTCAAAAAGAACGTCCGGTACTTTTGTTTGGCTCACAAGATTTTTCACAAGAATATTCTCACTTGCTCCATCACTGTAATTTAGTCGTGGATCGATCTTGTTCGGACTCAGGTACGCATAGGGCCAACCAAAGAACTCTCCCTCTTGAATGCGAGTGAAATAATCTGGCACTAAATCATCACCTAATCCATCGCGTTCTTGGACAGATACATATAAATCATTTGATATTGGATGAAATGCAATTCCAATCGGATTTCGTATTCCCCATGAAAATGTTGTCGGATTCGTTCCATCTAAATCACATGCTTGTACGGATGCACTTGGTAATAGCTCAGGATCAGCATCCATCGCCGAACCGATACCAACATAAATTCGATCATTAGTCGGTGAAACAACTAACGATCGTGTTGAAGGTTCAACATCTGTAGTTGTGGATTTGTAGCTCATGATCACCTGACCTGTTCCATTGATCCTTCGAGTACCATTTGTGTAATTATAACGTCGAAGATCTTCTTGATTTCCAACATAAAAATATCCTTGTGCAAATGCCATTCCATAGGAATGGTTTAACCCGTTTGTTGCATCAGCAAATGTATACGTTTGTGCTGGTTGTCCGTTTATCATAATTGTAATTTTATTTACCGCTGGTTCACTCACTAGAATATCACCAGTCGGGGTATAGATCATTGCACGTGGATTTGATAAACCATCTTTATATAGTTTAACCGTGAACTTTTGCGGTACATACAACAATGGATTCAATGGTACAGATTCATTAATTGGAGGTTTCGATACAGATTGGGTAATATTGGGAAGCGGCAAATTGTCAACAGTAATATTATGTATAAGCGGGATGACTGTAATATTATCACATTTGACAGTGGTTGCCGAAATGAGTAAAAGAATGCCATAGACGAAGGACATTTTAAATATCTAAACAAGAAGGTATATTTTGAAAGAAAAGTCAAGTTTTTACTAATCGTAATAAGCATTTTTTGTTTATTCTGAATGAAGACGATTAACAATTAACAAATTAACGAAAATGTGTGCCTAGATCGCGAATATAACTTAGGACTCTCTGGTAACAGCCCCCCCCCCCTCCCCGCTCTGACTATTGAGCTATCGAAGGCAGTACTACTACGCGTTGTACGAGGGATACTACATTAGTATTTGAGATTTGATAGTTAAATCATTCAAGTAAGCTGAGAGTGTATGTTCGATCGTGCTTCGGTAGCTCGGTGGTTAGAACTGACCGTTACCAGAGAGTCCTGAGTTCGATTCGCGGTCGAGATATACGTTTTCTTTTTTCTTACTTGTCTATCAAATTGTCTCACATCTAGCCCTGTTAAAAAACTCACTTTCTAATTTCATCAAGGCTTGGTTTACGATTTGTTTAGTGAAATACTTGTAATAACTGCTTATAGTATTCTTTTTTTCTATTATTAGAATTTACAATGTTTAGTTTAAGCAAAGAAATTTTTCACTCGTAATTAATACATATAAAAAGACAAAAAATATTTTTTCTTCTTTCTATTGTACATTTCTTGTACATTCATAAAAAGAACAAAACGTGTATTACAAACGTATGCACCAGGTAATTCAGGACACCTGCATACGGTGATTGACTATAATCGAATAAGCTTTGTACAGGACATCAGACAAACGAACTGGTATGGTGAGTGAACAATAGAATATCTTTCTGAATGCATGCTGGCGTATAATCCATTCATCAACGTTTAGAAGCTGAAGGAAAAGAAGTTATTCTTGGCTGCGTCTAATAAAACATTCATTTCAATTTTGGAGAATGGAATTGGATTTCAAAAAATGTTTTTGCATAAGGATCTATAACTATCTCTTTCTGTGAAAAAACATCTTAAAGTCTGTTCCTTCAAGTGATGACAAGCACTGGTTTAAGTTCTTCTTATTCAAAAATTACTTAAAAACTAACCAACCGCATTGATTTTAAAATACATAATTGAAGTACTACCCAAAGAGTGATTCTATCCTTCAAGACGAACAAATATAAAAAATAAGTCTGATTTGTTTCAGAACTGTGACTTATTCGGGGAATAATAAATTACATTCACGAAACATGCATCACATTAGGCAAAAAAAAAGAAGTCAAGCATAAAAGACAGACAAGAATTTAAAAGAGAACACAATTAGATTGAAAAGAGAACATTTTGAATTGTTTAGCGAATCTAAATTAATTTGGATAGAAAAGAGAACGCATATTGAATTAAGAATATTTAATTTTTTACTATTTTCTCAATTACTGAACATATTACTATACATGTTCTGTGGTGTAGTGGTACACTGTATATCTCATGATATGTATATAATACTGGTTCGATTCTAATCGGAGGTTTTTGTGTTTTTTTTCGTTTTTATGGACTCGTTGCTTTATCTATACAATTCGAGTAAATTGTAAGAACAAGAAAGTTTTGAAAAATTGATGTATTGTACTTACGGCCGTTTTGTAGTAAGATACACTGATAACCAAATAAGTAATCATAAAATAATGAATAAACATTTGTTCTTTGTGTAAACAGTTGTTATTTTTTCTATGAAAATATTTATTATACTATTTTATTAGAATTCTCAATATTAAAAAATATGTGATTTTTTTTATAGTGATATGTTCAGTAATTGAGAAAATAGTAAAAATTAAATATTTTTAATTCAAAATTTGTTCTCTTTCAGTCTGAAATCAGCCCAAAGTTAGTTAAAAACACCCAAAATCAATTGATTTTCAGTGATTTTCTGTGATTTCCAATGACTTCCAGTCATTTCCAGTGACTTTCAATCTGGTGAAAATCGGTGAAAATTGGA